TCATTTCTCTGATTCAGTACACTTTTATTTTTTATAAACTTAGTAATATATAGTTTCTCGTGTATGCACAAAGGACATGGGTCATTTAATGACCTACATATTCTAGCTTTTCTTATTAACTTCCATTTTACTGTAGGTGTTTTATTGGATGCGTTTAGGTGCCAGAAGTACTTTGAGAGAGATGTTTGATTTCTATATTTAATTAACCTAAATGAACTTTGATGTTGGTTGAACCATTTTTTGAACTCATGGCTTGTGCAAACTATATAGATTTTTATGCTTTCAGGATTTTCAATAGAAGAGATATTGCATCGGTATACCAATGATTCCGTGCGACATTTATTTTGTAGAGGACAGGTGTGAGGATTTCTACAGTTACATAATTTTTGTTTATCTTCATCTGTTTTTATTTTTATTTTTCCATTGTCTAAGATTTTTTGGTTCTGGTATAAGTGTTTATTTAAGATATTAGCATTATGTTTCTTAATAGTTTTTTCTAAGTTTTCAGTACAGCTGTAACTTAATTTTAGTGTATTTTTATTGAAAATAGTACTTAGTTTACTTTCAATAGAAAAATGCTTGACTATTAATGCGAGGAATTTTTGTCCTAATTTTTTCTTTACCATTTGGTTGTATGGGGGCGTATACCAAATTATTTTTCTACTTCTCTTTTTCTATGCTTTCCATTTTAATTTTTTATATAAATTTTTGGTTTTTGTAGCCACTATCTTTTAGAGCTTTATTATATAAATTATTATGTTTATCGAAAATCTTGTCATTTGCTAAGTTGTACTTATTCTTTTTTGGATAGATAAAGGTATATGCTTAATTAGAGATGGGGGTGATTTGATTTAGGGTGTATATATAAAGGATTGGGATTGGGTTTTTTATAAAAAAACCAACATCAATCCTTTATATATGTTTTTATGTATTTTTCTTTAAATCTAGTTTTATATCAGGAAGTTAACATTTTTAACCGTAATTTTTAAGTTCATGCTTTTAAATTTTTTATATAATAACTTTCTAATTTTATCTATTTTAAAGTTAGTAGAGTTTCTAATAGCCATAAGACCATCGTCTCTGTATAAACCAATGTCAGTTATATTAATATCACGGTGTGCTGTAAGATTGTATAATATAAAAAGACCTATGAGATCAGAAGATTCAGCTGAGTCTAGTGATCCCATTGTGATGTCAAAGTGGTAATATGAATTTTTTATCCATTGCTCACCTTTATGTATCAGTACCGATTTTTTCGCATTTATAATAATGTTCTCTTCATCTTCTGTAATATCCATGTACTGGGTAGCAAAGTCCAACACATTCATAAACAGTTCTTTAGATATTGATTGATGATACTTTTCAATATCAAACTGCATTAGTGGACAGTTGTTTTTTTCCTTTTAAATAAGTAAACCAGTTGTTTCACGTCTTTGGTATTAATCCAAAGTTTCGGGCCTATTTTTTCTTTAATTTGTTGATTTACCCTTTCAAGGATCATTTTAATAATTTTTCCGATATCAGGTCTTGTTGGGTTTATTATCGTTGTAGTCGGATTAGCCTCGAAATCTGGTTTGTGGTCTTTTATATAGCACTCTCTTTCATATAGTTGGCCCACTCTAATCTTTTTAGGTTATATAGAACTCTCTTTCATATAGTTGGCCCACTCTAATCTTTTTAGGTTATATAGCACTCTCTTTCATATAGTTGGCCCACTCTAATCTTTTTAGGTTATATAGCACTCTCTTTCATATAGTTGGCCCACTCTGTCACTGATCTTCAGTTTATCAGTGCTTTTTTTACTGCTAGTATTAATATTCTCAACCATGTTGAGGTCATTATTATTCGTCTTTTATATATATATATATATATATATATATATATAAAGATATTTTTGTAGGTACAAAATTTAATGATCGAAATAAAAGTATAAAATTCAATATTGCAAGACATTAAAAAATAAAAAAAACAAAACAAAAACACAACAAGGGGGAAGCAACCGGTTTCGCACCCGCTCTTCAGGCTTCAACTGGAGATTCAAAATTAATGCAGAAAAAATGTACAATAGAGGAATTGGGGGGTAAATTACGTATATATATATATATATATATATATATATATATACAATATATATGCAGAAGGAACTAGAGACAGATGACAGCGAGTCCCAACAAGCACTCACGTTGTTTGCACAAAGAAGGCTTGCGGGACCCGATGTAAAGTGCCTCTAGAACCTTCAAATGAAATACAGAGTGAGACCGGGCCAACACGGTGAATCAGTCAACACTAAATTTGGCTGCACAATCTCTGATATATATATATATATATATATATATATATATATATATATACAGAGAGATTGTTTCGCTATTTCATAGCTCATCAGTTTTGATAATCATTTGGTATCATTCGGAGATTTTAACTCTAAGCCATTGGCGCACGTCAAACGTGAATTTAGGCGTATTTTTTTTTTTTTTTAGATAAACACTCCAGTGACTGGAGAACTCTATTCGTCTTAACGAAGAGTCTTGCATCAGTAATATTCACTGTTTACAAATTCACTGTTCTCCTTGAAGAGCTCAACGGAAATATTTTTTTCAGGAGCATGTATATATTGTCATCCACAAACAGACTGTTTCGTTTATATTAGTGTATATTTGGCCAGCAACCTTTCTTTCGCGTATCTTTCTTTGAAAACGACCGACAAGGAAGATTTAATTAATCTTTTGTTGAGTTTTTCCATCAATCTAACATTGAAATGTTCATAGTTATTATTTTCCCGAGCGCTTTCGGCTACTTCTCTAGCCATTATCAAGGATGTTGTTTTTGATATGCTGAAGTTACTATGTTATCTTCTACATTGTAGTTTATCTGTTTGGAGTAATAACCAAAAAAAACTGCACCCGGATCCTCGCTGGGGTTCTCCTTCACAACTTCAGCAACAAACTCGAGTGTACTGGTAGCGCCAGAGCGCTTCTTATGAGTTTTGCGTTCTGGCCTGAAATTATCCTTGTCATCTCAGGTCTCATATGCCTTTGAAAGGCCGTAGACAATGGTTTTAGGGTATTTAACCATTCAATGATATCCTTGGATTTATGGCCGGTGAGAAGGCTCTCCACAACAGCAGCTAGACGATCGTATTTTGAAGGCATGTCGATCTGAGGTATAATATTTTTAATGGCTCTCTCGAAACCTCACTACACTGTGACGTCACGTCGCTGTTGCCACATAAAAATTCCGAATTTATCTGCGCCACTCTGTATATATATATATATATATATATATATAAAGAAATAATCATGCATACAATCAATCAGCAATATTAATGCGATTAATGGCGAAATCACTTCGCTAGTAGAAACAGAAAAAATATACACTAGAAACATCTGACAACAGTTTTATAGATGAGGATCACATCATTCAATGGATTAACAGTATTTTAATGCAAAGATTATGTTTCTACTAGCGAAAAAAAAAGAAGAAATATAGTATATTAAAAGGAATTTTTTTAATTCGTAGTTAAATAAAACGTATTCCAGCCTAAACAACCCCCCAAAATCTTTAAGTATACAAATAGAAAAAAATGCCGTAAAAATTTTTACCGTTAACAATAATTTTTTTTAAAAAGCCAGACGACATACATTTAACGGATGTCAGAATTCATTGAAAAATACATCCCTACCCCTACCAAAACGTAACTAATAACTAATTAAATTCGAAGCTTTTAGCTTCCGTTTTTGAAACATGGTTAGATCTGTGTAGCGAAAAAAAACATATTTTAAATCAATTAATTTATTGTAAAAATAAAAATATCTATAAGAACACCGGATTATATATCTTACTGTTCTTTCTTTATATATATATATATATATATATATATATATATAGTTTTACTCGATTTTGTCAACAAACTTAATAAGGTCGAATCCACAATAGTTTTTACCTTTGAATCTGAATCTAATAACGCATTAACCTTGCTACATAGAACTAATAACGTCCCTTAGTTGAAGGTTTACAAAAAATCTACCAACAAGCATGACTTTATCAATTTTTATTTTCACCACTGAAAATCTAGAATAATTATAAGATTCTATGTAAGATCACTAAGAATCTGCAGCCCCCAATAATTACCTAAAGAAGAAATACACATAGAAAACACTTTCAAAAAGCTTTTATATTCTCATTATTTCCAATACTGACAAAAAGAAAGAGAAAGAAAGGCCTAAAAGGAAACTAAGCTATATAGTAAAGTGCTCAAAGCCCAGATTGCCTAGACCGATCAAAATACGCTTACCAGTGTTAAATCTTATGAAAGGGTGGCTCTCGTCGTAACTAGCGTTTAACTCCAAACGTACTATACTTCAAGTGAAACATTTATTGGTTTGAATTTTTAAATCTCAACATTTACTATAGAAAAAGAAAATGTTTTGAGGTTTTCCAGCATTAAACGTCTAAATACATCAATATATATATATATATATATATATATATATATATATATATATATATATATATATATATATATATATATACACCAAGTAAAATAATAAAATTGTCCAAATCGTGTAAAAGCAAAATTGTTCAATTGTTAGATTAAAATTTGAACCGTTGTATCTTATAAATAATTAAATATATCTTACTGGAATTCTACGAAGATTTTATAACACCATTGGATTCTACTTTGAGCATTAAGAATGTATAATTACTCTCCAAGCAGAAGAATCGTGATGATCTTTTTTCTTCTCACTATTGCTCAGTTGAGAAGACATGATTTAATGATGCTCGGAATCCTGGCAATATTTTCTTTTTCTGTAGTTAATTTAAAATATATATATATATATATATATATTTCTTTTCGCATGATAAATTATATAAAAACTATCCGAATGATCTTTTTATCCCAGTTCTTTCGGCTATACATTTAGCCATTTTCAAGGATTAAATATTTTAACTGTTAAATTAGAAATATTTTATGAACTGTCTCATAGATAGGCATTAAC